CTGCCCATCTGAGCTGTAGTTGGTTTTGCACTGGGGAATTTGGTCCTTATGCAACACCTTCCCCAGAACAATCGAATATGAGGCGAGGACACAGGCCACCACCCACACACTCACCAGCAGCACCTTCTCCCCAGTCCCACGCAGTCTCACCCAGTCCTGGGAGTATAGAATCTGTACATAGCGCTGCACACTCATCAGGGTGACCGTCAGTAAACTGCCATACAAGCTGCAGAAGACCATGTAGCGCATCAGTTTGCAGCTTGTCTCACCAAAACTCCAGCCGTAAAAAAGTGCATAGATCCACATTGGCAGACTGATGAGGCACAAGATGTCAGAGGCAGCCAGGTTCAGCAGCAGCTTCATGGTGAAGTTCTCCTGCTTGAAATGACGAAGTATCACCACGATCACTGTGATGTTTCCAGGGACACCGATAAGGAAGCAGAGGCCCAGAACCACACTGGGAGCCATTGCTTGGTTCAGAATTTCTGAGTCCAAAGAGCTGGAGGTGTTAGACTGGTTCATGATGAGTGTGCGAGGAACTGCAGTGCATCAAAAACAAAATCATTTACGAACAGGAAGTAACACAGCAAAATGTGGCAAAAATAGCAATAGCAAATAAAACACTTCACACTACTTTTCATGCATGAAGCAAAGCACATGTAACTTGGCACACAGTTAATTTTCTTAATTGAGAGAAAATTTGGGTGTCAACAGTTAGCAGTGTTGCCTCACTGGGATCTGGGATTGTTTGTGGAATTTGCATGTTGTCATGGGGCTTTCTTGAGGTACTCTGGTTTCTCCTCACAGGCCAAAAACATAATGAGGTTAATTGTAGTTACCAAATTGCTCAAAGGTGTTTGTGTGCCCTGGGATGCTTTGGCACCCTCTCCTGAGTTGTTCCCTGTTTTGTGCCCATGGGTTTCAGACCCCCCATGATGCTGAATAGGACAAGCAGTTTCGAGCAATGGATGGATGAGTGGGTGTCATTGGCCATATTGCCTGGCTGAAGCAGAATCACAAGTCTGCTTAATTACTAGTGAGTTGAGCACATTTTCTTTTTTACATATTGTGAGTCAGTATAACAATGACGCAAGTTTGAGTTAATGAGTTATCAATCTTGGCCAGTTGTAGTAACACTGATTGTCCTGTGAGAGGCAGCACTCTCATTTGATTGGCTTCAGATAACATGCAAGGCTTGCAGTATGATTCTGACTGATGGTTTCTTCATTTGACCTTAGGTGCCTATCTTGGTCTTTTTCTATTAAGATTGAAATTCATTTTGGAAGAAATTTCTGAGACCAAATAAGAAAAGATGAATAGGGCAAAGTCAGACAAGTCAAAGATTACTAGTGGAGACATCCTGCCTGTTCCTGGATGGAGATACATCCTGATGACGGTATCATGAGGCAAAGGTGTACAGGAAGGTGTTTATTCAGCTGTTAATGAAGCTGAGAGATCATATCGTGAGTCAGCTGGTCTGTTTCATTTAGCTAATGCAACCATCGTGCGGTTTGCTGTCTGCCACACTAATGTTCTGTCAGGCTGTTGATGATGTTATTGGATCTCTGCCCTTCACTGGCATTTGTCTGAACCCCTCCTGTACACCTTTGCATCACACAACCTTCTTCAGGGTCCAGATCAACTAAGACAAACAGATGAACTGTCAGGGATCCGGGCAGATTTGGGGTGTGGGCGTAACATGGTGCAGACTGGGAAGGAGGTGGACGACCCACATGTGGCTCACAGGACAAATCAGGGTTTATTAACTAAAACAGAAAACACTAGGAATACTACAAAAAAACAAAAAGGAACACAAGGGTTCAAAAGTAAATAGGGATAAACAAAGACTAATTACATTTTTTATTAAAACGGGGCATGTAGGCAGGTAACATCAAGGAATCACAATCAATAAGTTTGGGAAAACAGGTCACAGGTGAAACTAATTAACTCAAAGGAATTAAGCAGGGAAACTGAAAATTAACCAAGAAACTGGGAAAACAGAATCTAACACTGGGAATAACAAAACCGATAAACCATAACAAGAAACCAAAACCGAATACAAAAATCACCAGACAGGAACTAGAAAAACTCATACAAATCAAACACTAGGGAACAAAATTCAAAAACAGAGGGGGCAGGATTCGAACCTGCATCAGAGGGGGCAGGATTCGAACCTGCATCAGAGGGGGCGGGATTCGAACATGCAACAGAGGGGGCGGGATTCGAACATGCATCAGAGGGCGGGATTCGAACCTGCATCAGAGGGGGCGGGATTCGAACATGCAACAGAGGGGGCGGGATTCGAACATGCAACAGAGGGGGCGGGATTCGAACATGCATCAGAGGGGGCGGGATTCGAACATGCAACACAGGGGGCGGGATTCGAACATGCAACACAGGGGGCGGGATTCGAACATGCAACAGAGAGGTTAACAGATGCTCACCTCATAGGACAACGGGAAAAAGGAGACAGACTGGGACAACAGGAGCTGACCCTGACATGAATACTCCCATAAATGCTGGAGGTCTTGTTTTGTGTACAAAGGATGGGCCCTACTGTCAATGCAGCCATTCATTAGCAAAGATCTTCTGTATTGTTGTGTCTATGGAACAATGTCACTGTCACAAGGTGGCTCAATTGCCTTAGGTACCATGTTGCTAAGGTCCTGACTACAGGGGTGATCTGGACTTGGAAGATTAAACAATATTCTATCAAACAGGTGAATAAATGTTTCAGAATAAAAATGAAACTCAAAAAGTTTACGCCTATTCATCAGCTTGCTCTGTTCATTAAGTTTTAACAATATAAACAGAACACAACGGTAAAGTCTTTACTTCACAGACACTCTAAGCAAACAAACTTCCATCCATTTAGCTTGTCACTGTTCAAATGGTAATTAACCTCAGGTGCAGGCCAAACCAGACCTTTAACATAGCTGGGTATTCCCTGATAGTTCTCAGTGTATCATTCCCAGTGGTTAAAGTGGGTTGGAACAATCTGGATCAGTGTTCTGACACCCTCGGCTAATGAATGATTAAATCTGATTAGCAATTTCATACATAACAGTGTAAAGCAAGTTAATTTTTCATGTGCAGCAGCCTGGCATTTCTTCCAGTTGATGCATTCAAGATATTCATTCAACAAATCAGAAAGTAATGTCACCTTACTGTCCCCCACCCCAATTCACACACATCATGTTTCCATTCTCATCTCTTCTCTTCACTGGGTTCATGCATGAAGATACTCATGGTCATGGTACTAGCTAGTTACAGAATGGGAGTGAGCGTAAAATGAGTCACTTTTTTCTGAAGTGGTAGGTAATTTCAAATGCAATGTTTTAGCAGAGCTCAACAAATATCACCAAACGCACAAGCTGTTTTATGTCTTTTTGCAGTCTGTCTTGCTAGCTACCGGTATGGTAGCTGACACCTTGGCTAACACTTTGGCTGACTCATCTAGAGTGGCGTTAGGTTCTGCTCAGAAGCGGAGCTAGCATGGGAGTGAGGGCTGTGACCGCTGGTGGTGACTGTCGGGAATCCGCTACAAGGCCCTCCTCCCCCGGTCTGTCTGTGCTCGGTGACAGAGCGGACAGGGGCTGATTTCAGCTCCACCACTGGTCCCACTGTTAGTACTTGGAGGTCCAGATGAAATCACGCTGACAGTGACCAGGGCCAGGGTCTCCCTTGGTTTCCACCCACAACAGCTAAAAGGTCAGGTTGATTTGTGAGAAGCAGAGCCTTGAGAGCAGAGTTCACCTCATGTGAGCAATGTTTCTCTCTCGCATGAGCAGCGTGAAGCTTTGAGAGGAGGGTTCACCGTGGCCGCTGTCTGAATCACTCCTGCACAATTTCCCATCACACAAGCTTCTTCAGGGTCCAGACCCACACAGACGATTAGATAAACACTCTCCCACAGATGCTGGAGGTCTTCATTTGTGCACAAAGAACAGGCCCTATTGTCACTGCAGCCATTCAGTGGCAAAGACCTTCTGTACTGTCGTGTCCATGGGACAATATTTTTCTATCATGTAGAAAATAATTTCAATTATTTTATACTATAAAGCTATAAGGAGCAGTGTGATCTAGGAAAAGTTCAGTAAGGTGATATAGTTCTACTTTTCTGTAATATGTAACTTGTACATGCCACACATTATTGTAACTACAGATCTATAAAAACAAAGTTTTACTAAGCAGTACATTTAATAATAGCAATGTAAAATTATAATAAAGCCTTACATTGGAAAGATAGCTTGTATTTTAAAAACTGTAATTTTACTAGTTCACAATTTATCAGTTACCAAGCTGCATCAAATGTGTAAAATCATGGGTCATTCCTGCATTTGCTGAAAGTCGCCCCCTGCTGCCACCACTCCAACAATGCAAGTCGGCAGGTGAAAAACAGAAATGACCAGGGTGTCTTTATCGGCAAGGCATCGTGACAGCTCTGCCCTGGAGTTTCTACCTATCAGAAAGATCAGGGATTAAGCCAAGTTTACCTGGGGCTTGACTTTTTGTTTTTGAAAGAAGACTGGCATTGTGGCTAAAATACTTGGGGCTGTAGCCCCGAGTGATCGGACCTAACCACACCCATGGACCAGGGTGTTTCTGTGGGCAGGACATCGGCACAGCGCCACCCTGTGGTAGTTAGCACTTAAAATATATGAGCAGATTTCCCTTTTGCCAGGCTTTACTGTCACTGACAATATTATTCTCCTGAATGTTTACTAATACACGAAAGCTGTAAAATCTGAAAGTCCGAACCAGCTTCTGTTGTTTCAGAAAATAACTGTCCATCTTAAGTGCGAACTGGGGACTTCCTGTGTCAGAGATGTCTGTGAGATAAGCTAGAGTATTTATAAATGCCCCCTGGTGACACTTCCCTGTCACTTACTTCATGATGCAGAACTTCTCCTCCAACACCACCACTGAGGACCCTGGAAGACCCAGCCAAGCTGTGGTTCCCAGTGTGATCCTGGGCTTGTGTTTCCTTGTCGGAATCCCGGGAAACATCTGGGTGATACAGGTTGGTTTCATGTGGCACAGATTATCTTCAGTTATCCTCAGTTATGGTACAATCACATAACTTTCTAGGGATTCTGGGTGATTTCACCAGGCCTTTTGATTGGATGCTTGCAGTTCCAGATAATGTTTATTAAAAATAAACAAGCAGCACATTTAACTGCAATTGCAGCAGAAACAAAAAGCAGTATGTATAAGGATGCCTGCTGCCTGGTTTACAAAAAAAACAAGAATAAGATCCTGCAATTTCTCCAAGATGTCACTTAATAAACAGTTTCAATGTCTTTTAAGTAATAAGGGACTGCTTTCACATTTAACATGTTACAATTGTTTCTTAAGTTTCTACATTTCTTAAAAGAGGTTCATATATTCAGACCCCAAATGATTATGGATTGACGTTCTGCCTGACTTCAATGAGTAAGGAGAATGTGCTAAATATGTCTGTCTTTCACATAGCAAACTGATTATGATATGCTAAGACCACAACCCCAGGATGCCCAAAATTTAGTGAGAAATATCTGACCATTAAGACATTATCAACTTACCATCAATACTAACTGACGGCAACAGAAAAAAGAACAAAAAAGAGTAAAAGAGGTCAGACCAGGCAGCTTCATACTTTATTTTTTATGATCAGTTCAGGTGATGTAGCATCAACAAACAGGACATGGACTCTCTCATGGTCATGGACTCATGTGGAATCATATACCACAATAGCTTGTGTTTTCATTATTTACATGCTCCTTGTTACTCTGCATTTTATACAGTGATCTTATCCCTGATGGAATCTTGTCGCACCTCCACCAGTTGTTAACATAAACTTTTCGTCTCAACATTTTCTTATATTTACAGCCTCAGGTTGCAAAAGATATTTCCTGAAGTGGAAGCTCTCAGGAACTTGTGACACAGTGAACGTCACAAGTGAGAAATTACACTATTGCTCAAACAAATTTTTATTTCCATGCAGTGTCACAAAATGTAAAGCATGAAAAATAGAAATCTCAACATAGTGCACCTTCACTATGATTGTGGTATGATTTCTGTCACTGGTAACCAATACAAGATCACAGCCAACCACTGAGGCTGAGAGAGCTGACCCAGTCAGTACAAAGCCTCTGAGGGGAGGAAGGCTTCACTGCTAACATATTCTATCATGGCTCCTGGCGTGAAGACACCTCTGAATTACTTAACCCTTGTTATGAATTTTATGTAAGCATAGGGGCTTAGTGGGTAGCCTCAAAGTTCCTGTAGAAATAAGTATTTTCTAAGCTCAAGATAATGACACCTGTTGCAATTAAAATGAACCAGCACAAAAGCACAAGTGAGACACAGGGATGTCACTCAACTTTTACAAACTCATTATTTAAATGTGACATTAACGATCACAAATAAAGTCTCAGGCTAAAACATAATCAGAAATTTCTGACACCAAATAAGAAAAGATGAATAGGGTGAAGTCAGATGAATCAGAGGTTGCTAGTGGAGACATCCTGCATGTTCCTGGATGGAGTTGCATCCTGACGACGGTTTCGTGAGGCAAAGGCATACAGGAATGGGTTTATGCAGCTATTAATGAAGCTGAGAGATCCTACAATGTTTTCACTGAAACTGCAAAACTTCTCCAGTTTGGTTGATGCAGCCGGGTGGGATGATTTTAGCAAGATAGAAAATATTTCTGCCACATTGGCAACATGTACTGGAATCCAGAATATGAAGAAGGTTACTACAATGCTGATAACCAGTCTTTTCATCCTCTGGTTAATGAAGAAGGTTCTTTGCTTCACTTTTCTGTGAAGGCAGCAGTAAGATGTGACCATGACAGAAAAAGGAATCACAAAGCCCAGCAATGTCTGAGAGAGCAATACAGCCAATCTCTGCCCATCTGAGCTGTAGTTGGTTTTGCACTGGGGAATTTGGTCATCCATCAATACCTTCCCCAGAACAATCGAATATGAGGCGAAGACACAGGCCACCACCCACACAATCACCAGCAGCACCTTCTCCCCAGTCCCACGCAGTCTCACCCAGTACTGGGAGTACAGAACCTGTACGTAGCGCTGCACACTCATCAGGGTGACCATTAGTAAACTGCCATACAAGCTGCAGAAGACCATGTACATCATCAGTTTGCAGCTTGTCTCACCAAAACTCCAACCGTAAAAAAGTTCATAGATCCACATTGGCAGACTGATGAGGCACAAGATGTCAGAGGCGGCCAGGATCAGCAGCAGCTTCATGGTGAAGTTCTCCTGCTTGAAATGACGAAATATCACCACGATCACTGTGATGTTTCCAGGGACACCGATAAGGAAGCAGAGACCCAGAACCACACTGGGAAGCACTGCTTCAGTCACAATTTCAGAGTCCCAAGAACTAGAAGTGTTAGACTGGCTCATGATGAGTGTGATAGTGATTGTAGTGCATCAAAAACAAAATCACATTTACAGAAACAGGAAGCAACACGTCAAAATATAAAAAAAAAGAAAAGCCATGGGATTCATTAGCTCTCCTTTAGCAAACAATAGCAAATGAAATACATCACATGCACCAGTCTTTCCACATCAAACCAATCACGAACAAGTTGCCACACAGCTGCTTTGCTTAATTCTGAGAAAAGTTAGAAATTTAATAACACCATTTGGGTGTCTTCGGTCATACTGCCTGGCTTTAAGCAGAACCACCAGTTTGCTCAATTATAAACTAGTCGAGCACATTTTTTTAGTGATGCCCTGTTTCTGGTCAATAGCAATAGCTGATTGTTTCGAAACATACTGATTGTTTGGGGGGTTTTGGTTAAATATGTTTAAAGGGACACTCCTCCCAAATAAAAATAAATAAATAAACTAATACAGTACATTTCAAAAATATGAAAAATCAAAGAGTGCTTATTTTTTTGTAGGAAAATACCAACTCTGGCAAACAGCAACAACAAAGTATAATAAAGTCCCAAGGTACTATCTTGTATCTGTTACTGTCCTGCATTAAAAATAACTATGAGCCATTCCACATCAAATCCCCCAGTTTGAGAAAAAATTCCCAGATTACCCCTGATGAAATTCACAAGTGCTCCTGTACTGAACCTATGAAATAATCCCAGATATTTGGTCTGTATCTGTAATAGTTTTGAAACTACAGCCTTTTGAAATTTTATTTTTATTCATTTTGTTGACTCAGTGCTTTAGGCCAACATCCAAAAACATCGTGCTCCTTTGATGTGGCTCTTACAGCTTTGGAACTTTGTGATTAGAGACTAAGTTTTGGCTGTAGAATTAAAAAAAATGTAAGATCAGCTGTATCTTATGAACTTTTCCTCCTACAACACTACAGCTGACCCTTTGAGAGCTTTTTGCTCAAAATATGCCAAAACACAGGTTTTTCCTGTTGTTTACAGAAGTGAAGATGTCACGTCCAGTGAGTACAAATCCAGACCAAGATTTTGTTTCAACCAACCAGTTGAGTGTAATGAGTCACAGTCACAGAATACTCACATGAATTAAACAATAAATCAGAGTCAAATACAAAACTTAACAAATCCCAGCACATGAAAATTAGCACAATACCTATAGCCTTAAAAAGAAAAAGAAAAGATGAAGGCAGTAATGTGCAGAAGCCAAAACTAAAGCGAATGGAGGAGAAATATGCAGAAGCAAAAGCAGCCGCCAGTCTTTGACTTCTAAATCCCTACAATTAAAATAGATTAAGCGTTATTTATACGGCAACAATGAAAGAAACACTCAAGCGGCAGCTCAACCCTAATAAACCACATAAACTGTACCCTAACTAGTCTGCCGCAATAGCCCATGTACCATGTATTATATTAAAACAGTAACCTTGACAACGGCTGAGAATCCAGCAAGAAGTAAAGGGGCACCAGTAACCAGCCATCCAAGAGCCAAGGAGCGGACGGCACAGCGGACAATCTTACAGTTCTATGGACCCACTGCTCATGCTACCACATCTGCAACCAAACGATGACACCAGATCCCAGCAGATAACAATCCTGGCTAGTTGTAGTGACACTGATTATCCAATGAGGGGCAGCATTGCCGTTTGATTGGCTTCAGGGATCATGCTTTCTTGCAGTACGATTCTGATTGATGGTTTCTTCATCTGTCCTTAGTTACCTGTCTTGGCCTTTTTCTATTAAGATTTAAATTAATTTTGGAACACCATTTTACTTTTCGCAACTTTGGTTGATGCTGAGTTGTGTCTCACTTTTTGAATATTTTCAGCACATTTTAACAATATCACAATATTGTTGCATGTTTGTAAAGGTGCACGGCCAAGACCAGTGGACCTTGTCCATTATAGATGAATTTCCTTTATAAGCGAGTCCACTATAACGGGATTTTACTGTACTGCAATAATACTGATAACCATGATATTGAATTTTCATACCATTTCATCTCTAGTTCCAAGCAAATCCCACAATAAGTAAATTGCTGGGTTGTTAGACGAAGCCATCTATCAGTATCACTTACCTGTAAATCTGTCGCGGCCATTGTTCTGTCCGCTGTGTTTTCAACTCCAGACTTGCAGCCACAGCTTAGATGTTTGGAATAACAAGCTGCTGGCCAAACCTTTTCTCCATCTTCTTCTTTTGTTTTTGGGAGTTGGAAAACCAACTAAGTCGCCCCCGGCTGCCACCACTCCAACAATGCAAGTTGGCAGGTGAAAATCAGAAATGACCAGGGTGTCTTTATCGGCAAGGCATCGTGACAGCTCTGCCCTGGAGTTTCTACCTATCAGAAAGATCAGGGATTAAGCCAAGTTTACCTGGGGCTTGGTTTTTTTTTTTTTTTTTTTTT